AGTTAAAGTGTTAATCAAGCACAGCTTGCGAAGTTCTTGCCAAGGTTACAATCATTAATTTGAATAACATCAATAGACGATAAAATAAATTTACACTCTCACGTAATTTAACATTAGTATTTTATGTAAAATTACACAACACTCCCCTTCAAAATCATCTCTCTCTTGAAACAATGTGAAATCTTTACAGCACTAAGAAATTGCAAATTTATGCTCTCTGGCATGTTCCTTAACATCCCTGAACTGAATATTGTGTCACACCCAATTATAGTTTCATTCGTAAACCTTTCCATAAAACTTTTAATTAAATTCTACTTCCTCCACCAACAAGCACTTAATGAAGTTCCACTCCCTCCAAATATCTATTCACACTCCGAATTTTCATAGAAACGTTTTAGAAGTCCCGTATTTTCAGCATTTCATTTACGCCCTATTCAATCCAGTCGGGCAAAGTTATTACTAAATAATCGTTCGAGGGAGTACTTATCGTGATCTTGTGGATCGGAGTCGTCCTTCACCGTGATGTCGGGTCGAATCGTGGCCTCCCCAGGCCCACGTGTTGGCGGCTTCCTGTCCGGCGCGTAGCAGAGTGGCCGTTAAAAGCCGGAGCTCTGGCACACTGCTTGTGGCACGATTCAATCCCCATAAACTCTTTTAGCTCCTGCGTGCACTTCCACGCCTAGCTCTCGCTAATTTTCTCCACGTACCGTCTCGCCTGGCGAACGTCGCTCAACTGCCTTCTCCAGTCGTTCCCACCACCTTTCTCACGCTTCGGTCGGCACGGACACCCGAATTCAAAACGTCTCAGAACGTCTGTCTAGAAGGTTTACTACTTACTGCCCGCGCTATTCAAAGGTAGCGTTGCCATCTTAATCACAGATGGGCAACGGTTACACAATATGCAAATTACAATGGGTTATAGAGTAGCTTACAATTTTGTTCTTCATTATTTATCCTTTCTAACATGAAATCTATTTGCAAACATAAAATATAAACACTACGAAAATTAATAGCACAAAACATGATTTTAAGAAAATAAGAAACTATTAAATTACTGTTTTATTTATATTGAGATTTATAAGATAACAGGTTCAAATTTTGGGAAACTAGAGAATTTACAGGGCTATAATTTGTATTTAGCGCTTTTACTTTCCCGCTGCCGCTTATGCAATAAAGAGAAAGTTATGTAATGCTACGAGAAAAATTGGCAATTTTTCGGCAGAAAAACTCTTATTGCCGGGTCCTAATAACGAAACTAGTGGTGCTACAGAAAGGCACAGCCTTTTCGTAGTAAACTTTTCTAATTTCCTTGGTGTGGGCTAGCTTATTTTATTGCCTTGCCCCATCTTGCCAACTGCCATCTATCGCCGCTCTTAAGATATTTTTTTAAGTTATCTCATTCCTTCGGTTTTCTAATGGTAGATACGCAATACACTGGAGAGCCAAAAAAACTGGTACAGCCGTACGTATTGGAATATAGAGATCTGGAACCAATCAGAATACGGCACTCCGATCGGCTCCGACTCCTCAAGAAAACCAGTCTGGCACAATTGTTAAATCGGTTACTGCTGCTACAATGGCAGGTTTTCACGATTTAAGTGAGTTTGAACGTGGTGTTTAGGTTGGCGCAAGGGAGATGGGGCATAGCAGCTCCCACGTCAAGAAGAAATGTGTATTTTCCCGTATACCGTTTCACGAGTGTATCGTGAATATCGGTAATCCGGAAAACATCAAACCTCAGGCATCGCTGCGGGACAGAATCGCGATCGCGACAGAACGGGACCGGTACGAGTATGGCGACAACCTTAGGAATCCATGGACCCTACATGTTAACAGGGGACTATTCCACCTGGTGAAGGCTCTGTGATGGTATGGAGTGTGTAGTTGGAGTTATATGACGTATCATTCCCTGATATGCCTAGATACGATTCTCACAGATGACACGTACGTAAGCATCCTGTCTGATCACCTGCACCGATTCACGTCCATTGTGCATCCCGACGGACTTGAGCAATTCCAGCAGGACAATGCGACAGCCCACACGCAGAAATTTGCTACAGGGTGGCTCCAGGAACACTCTTCTGAATTTAAACCCTTACAATGGCCACCAACATCCACAGACATTATTGAGCATATCTGGGATGCCTTGCCACGGACTGTTCAGAAAGATCTCCACCCCTCGTACTCTCACGAGTTTATGTACAACCCTGCAGGATTGACGGTGTCAATTACCTCCAGCACTACTTCAGACATTAGTCGAGTCATGCCACGACGTTTTGCGACTCGTCTGCGTGCTCGCGGGAGCCCTACACGATTTTAGACAGGTGTACCAGTTCTTTGGGGGGGGGGGGAATTTATCAGTATATTATTTTTGGAATATTAAATTGGGTTCAAGCCTCGTCCTTTATACAATTTTTTTATTTATAAATTTGAAGCCGTTTTTAAGAAAATTGCGTTTAAGCGTTTTGGTAAATGCGAAATTAGAAGCTTTTTTTCACAGGAATCTTTCGAGTTTTTTAAAAACTTCATTGTGAGTCCATTAATGCTCTTCTACTCACAAATGCAATAATAAATAGAAATTGCTGGAAATGTGCACATTAAAGGCGTGAGTAATCTTTCAAAAAAGTCTCATTTGTGTAATTTTTGGGGGAAAATCAAAATAATACAGAAAAATTTATCTTTTGTCATCTAATACAGTACATATTGTACTAATAAAAGTTTAAAGAAAAATTTTGAAGTCATTTTTGAGAAAATGACGTTTGAACGTTTCTGAAAATGCAGAATTTTGAACTAGGTTTCACAAAAAAATTGTAAGTTTTCAAGAAACTTTATATCATATCATTTAGGCACAAGTGCTTATAAATTCAACAACACATTTCAACATGTGAACAAATCGACACTAATGTAAATATTAACGACATGAGTGAGAGATTGGTAAAAAATTATATATTTACAATTTTTGGAAAAACAAAAGAATTGAGCAATATGGCGTTTATGACATCTCGTAGAGTGAACTTTTGGTAGGGAAAGTGATAAATGTAAAGAGCATGTTTCGAGCCGTTTTTGAGAAAATCTAGTTTTTCATATTTTAAAAAAAAAGCACATTGTGTACACCAAATTGCGCGAATACTACTAATTTTTTTAAAAAGTGGGCATGACTTCAATGAAAGAACTAATTATGGGCAATAAATTTCTTTTGAAGGAAAAAGCTCTATAGTCAATCTCTATAATAATGTAGTTGTAGGAAATTGCCGAAAAAAATTCACTTCTAGAATTTTCGAAACTTTAGAGTTAACAATGAAAAATAGACCTTTGCCACCTCTATAAGTGTACTTCACTCTATTCTGACAAAAAATATAAAGAAAATATTTGAAGCAAATTTTGAATCAAAATTTTGATAATATTTTGAAAATATCCCAAGGCTTTATCTAAAATACCCACAAAAACAGATAGACTGTGCCATTCTGTAGCCCCACTAGTTCGTTTGTACTCAGATTAAATTGACTTAATCAAGAGATAAAGTTTGTTGTTTTTTTTCACACTTCTGTAACAATTTTGAACATTAAAAATTTTATCGCCGGGGCACTTTTGCCTTATTCCGCTTCCCCTTTTTAAGACCTTTCTTCATTTTGCTGTCGACTATTGTGTTTGGCGATGGCATATCTCCTACGCTAAACGCCATCAGAAAACCGTTGAATCCTTGTGTGTTCGTACGTGCGTGTGGGAGCGGTTCGCGCCTGTCGTGCCCACGTCTACGCACGACGCCAATGACCCGACGGCTGCCCCCAAACGCCACACACTCGGGCGTTGCTCTCTGCTGGCGCAGCTGTGTTGTCAAGGGCGCTTCTAAACGAAGATGGCGGAATATAAAACATTTTTCGTCATTAAATATTCATTTAATGACTGAAAGTAATCTTCTCTAGAAAAGTGAATGCATACTGACTTATAATCTAAATGAACCAAAAGAAATAAACACGTTCCTATAGGTCCACATCTGCTAAGCTGGGCCAGAGCGCATTATGAATAACGAAAACTGACAACATTATTTCATAAACGTAGTGATGTACAATGGAACCATTCTTAAAGAGAACAATAATGACAACAAAACAAAACTTCCCACTGTTAAAGTTTAATGAATGTTCTGGAGTGTATGGAGGCGTTGAGCGCGCACCGTTGCGGCAGGAAGTGGAGACTCGGGCGACGAGGCCGTGACGATGCCTGGCCACTGACGGGCCACGATGCTCCGGCGTGCATGCTGCCGCGGCTCCTTCATCACTAGGAGGCGGATTTTCTTGAAATTTCATTTTTGGTCTTATGACTGTAGAAAAATTCCGTGTAGTATGGAAATTCATTTCATGCCATGACAAAACGAAATGGCTGATTTTTTTTCTTTTTCCGTCGATTTCGACTTATAAGTCAAATTTTACCTTCTTGCGTCATTTTTACTGCATTTTCGCTGATTTGTTCAATTTTAATATCATTTTAATGGTATTAAAAGTGTGTGAATTGTAATATCAGACGTTCTGAGTACTATGTAATCTAAGGTTCCTGTGACGTTTCTCGGCGCTATTGTCAGTTCAGCCAATTTCGCAATAAATAAAGGCAGATATTTTCTTTTAAAGAACAGACCAAACCCAAAGTTTGCAAGCTGAGTTCACTTTAACAAAAATAAGAAACATCGATTACTTCAGTAACATACCCAACAGCTTAAGTTGTTCATCTGAAATGGTTTTGATCACATTTTTTACGTAATTTTTCTTTCTTTTTAGAGCATTTTAAAATAATTTTAAGAGCATTTTATTTATTATTTTTGACAAAGTTTTAGGTCATCAAAATATGCCCCGTATTCATCACCATCCAAAAATGCTTATAAATACATTTTTAAGTGATATGGAACGCTGTAAGTAGTGTTTTTTTCGGCAATTAGTATTCGGCCCTTTCGTGATCTCACCGCCTGCTGCTTCACGGAAATGAACTTACATAACCAACTGCTGTTGCAGGTGACGGACGAGACGACCGCCATCTTGCGTCATTTCGGCTACACGTTCGAGCAGCGCGGCCTGGTGTCCGTGAAGGGCAAGGGGCAGCTGATGACGTACTACCTCATCGGCAAGGAAGACGGCGCGGGTGGCGGCGGCGGCGGCGGGCGGGGGCGGGGCGGCGGGCGGCCGGGCGGGCCGGCAAGCGGAAGGAGCGGCGGGGGGGCTTGAGCGGGGCCGGCGAAAAGACCTCTGGCCTCCGTCCCCAATCGCCGCGGCCGGACGACGCGGGCGAAGCGTCGGGGCGGGGGCCGGGGCGGGGGCCGGGCGCGGAGGCGGGCCGGCGCGACGACGCGGCCCAAAGAAGCGGAGCTCCACTGAACCGCCGTAAGGACCTCGCCCGCCCCGCCCCGCCCTGCACGCCCCCGCCCGTGGCCGCGGCCTACGTTGGGCCAGGCCGACTCCACAGGGTGACTTCGCTGTAGGTGAAATCTCTCAAGGCAAGCGCCTAGTGCCCTTTCGCCCCGCCCCGCCCATCGCCGCCCCACGCGCTTCGCCCCGCCCTGCTCTACGCACGTGCGATTTCTTGGTGTCCTTGAATTTGCGAGTAGAGCGTCAAATGGACTGATGGTATCGGTCTGATGTACGGACAGAAACGCAGAACTTTTTTGTCGTGTAAACGAAGCGTTGCCGTGATCATGACGCCGGAATCTAGCAAAACAGGGAACATATCCTTTGGCAGAAGAGGGCAAATTGTCCCCCTGGCTCAGATCAGTGAGCCGCACAAGTCCTGGATATTCCCAATGGTGCCATCTTCGAATACAAATAAACACTACAAACCTTGAAGCAGTATATCTAAATCTAATTAACATAAGTATCTAGTCACGAAATGAGGTGCGATGTAATTGTCTTTCACTCCAGAAAGAATTTTAATGCACACGTGGTTCATTGAGATATTTATGATTGGTTCCACGATATATTTTCCTATTCCCTAAATATACCTATTGCATGATTCCACAATATTTTCTCGAATGTGTCCATGTACTGCAAATATTTTAATCTTGTTTTTATAACTTTGGTCAAATATAACCATTTGAGTTTAACATACTTTTTTAAGTAAATTATAATATTGATCTGTTCCGTTTATGTTTACTTTCATTAGTTTATTATGAAGAAATAAGGACTCCATGTCAGTAGAGATCATTTCCGAATTTTTTTTTTTTATTTTAATGTTTATTTTCAAATGTTCTTGTCAGACCGTTGCCTTAAGTTCATTCGGCGCTTCCACACGAAGCCTCGAATCCTCCGAAATTTTTTCACTTCTTTCGTGAGCAAAGTGTACGCCCAGTGGCCTGTTAAGAAGAGTCGGTTGACGTGATTCAATGATTTCTATTATGTATAGTTCACACTGCGTTTAACGAACACGAGGGCGCACAATCTGTTTCTCATTTTCATGTTTGAGATACACTTACACGTTGACTTTCGTTGGTACTAGAGCACAGAACAACATATTTGAATCATTCTCATACTACTTTCAACCTGCACAGTACTTATTTTTAATTATATTGTTACGAAAATACTAATGACATTTAGTTGAGAAACATTTTTATACTTACTATATTACTCTGAAAATATCTGCGGCAGATAAATGCAATGCAATATTACATTCCCTTTTCTCGAACCAACTAACAATTGTCATGGAAACCTCACTTTCTATTCTTCATCTCTTTGTCAAGATGGCTTTATTTCGGTTGTAATATTTACTCTTGGATAACACGCAAGAATTTTGACTGCACGGTCATTATGTAAAAACATGCATGCATGTCATTGTAACCATACAAACTCACTTCCGCTTCAAATGTAATTACCAAATTAAGCTCGTTACTCATTCCAAAATAAAATATTTTACGAAACGAAACTGAAATTATCAAGTACATACATTTAACAGGAGCGTTCGTCTAATTAGTGTACAGTTGTTAATATTTTTGTATTCCGTTTGTCATAATCCTCGTCTAGGGAATTTGGTTCCTTTCGAGATTAAGAGTGTACAATAATTACAGTTGATGTACAGGCTGGGTTGAAAGGACTGTTAAAATATAATTAAGTGGTAATCCCAATAATTTTTAGTTCAAATACTGGTGGTCCGGGTAGCACATTTGAGAAAACCGGAAGTATTACTGTTTCTGCGCCTGTCAGGACAACTCGCCCAACTCCACTTTGTATGCAGCTCAGGAAATTAGAGCATCAAATTAATCCAGAAATCGGGAGCAGGTCTATTGAGAATTTCAAGGTGTAAAATCGGAAGTCTCAATACTCAATTTTTACCGTCAGTCGTAAATACGTGTACAAACGAAAGTGTACAAACATTTAAAACTGCACATTATCCAATAATATCTTTAAGTTTTTATGAATGTCTTGGCTTCTTCTGAATTCATTTTTCCTCTCGCAAGGAATATATATGGAACAAGACATTTTTATATCTTGAGATTACATACCCCAATTTCTAAAAAATCAATGTGTTGAAATATGGCTCTGAGGTGTTTTTTTACCTACAAAAACCGTATATTAAAATAATCGTTGTTTTTATCACGTCAGGAAAGTGCCAGCTGCCAAATTATGATTTGTATTTTCTGAACAATGAATCTCCGACCCGCACACAACCGCCACGATCGTTATTTTTCAATTCATGAGAATTAAAATTGACATTAAAGCTCATTTCATAGAATTGAAGCACTGCATGGTGACTGTCTTGATTTAATTTTGATTTTTAGCTAGATTATTTGCAGGAGGCCGCAGAAAAAGATAGGAAAAGTATCTCGGGAATGCATTGCTCTTGAACGAAAACGAAAAGAGGGGGTCGGATCCCCTTAATTGAAATCACGCTAAGTAAATTAGTATTGACTGGAGCAGTGTCGTATTTCAAAAAAAAAAAAATCAGTGGAATATTTTTTGTACGGCTTTTCATGTTGCATCTTGAAAAAACTCTTTTCCGAAAGTACGTCAAATAGAAAACCCCACAGATCTTGGAAACAAGATAGAATACAGCTGATAGACTCCCACAAATCATGGCGATGATAATAAACATGGTGGTAATGATGCGTGCTGTGCTATGCCATCGATGGCAGGCGGGGTAAGAGATTTTTATTTAGTGGGTCATTCGGGTTCTACTTTTCTTCAGAAGGTAGGTTCTCTAGAAATCTATTTTTATTTCAACCATGGAGTAATTTTAATCGCTTCTCAGGTTCCAAAAAATTAACCCTCTTCTCACACGAGGAAGTTAGGAAACGTAGCAGATGCTAATTCCACATTTAACTTGTCTTATTCTAAAGTTACGGTGGGCCAGAGTGTTTTGTGATATTTGTAAGTTATAAATTATTATATTTTATGTGATTTTTCTGTATTCAATCGGCAACGTACAGGGTTCAATTATACCTGAAATAATATTTCAAAGAAACATATTTTTTTTACAAAAATGTAACTGTCTCATAGCTAGTATACCGTAACACACCGCAAAGTAGTGTATAATAATACAAAAAAGTTTCCATGAGAACTAGTTAATATCTCTCCCACTCATTACACATGTATATTTTTAGGTGAAAACGAAATATAATAATAAGTAAATAGAGAAATAATGAAATAGAATCAAAATACAGCTCTAATTAAAAATTTTAAAATCACAATCCACCATTTCCATCCCCTAATCTACCAACCACGAATATCGCATGTTTATGCTTCAAATTATGTCATAAAATAACTCTTATTTTAAATTTATTTGTTTTTAAAACCAAATAATTATTTTAAAATATACAAATATTTTGGTGCTCAAATAACAATATTTAGTTTGAGATTTTTTTGTCTCAACTGAACTGAAGACTTAAAACTGAAGCTTAATAGATTTATTTTAGTTATTTTTCAAAGAAATGAATTTAATTGCTTTTTAAATTGATGGCATAGTAATTTTGGTATGAAATACATTCTAATTATTATTGAATTACATATCCAAATTTACATATATGCTTTTCACTTCTCCTTGTGTACCATTTCCCTACATCTGTCTCAGGAAATGGCGCACAAGAATCCCTGCCCCCCCCCCCCCAAGTGAAATTTGAGATGTAGCGCCAGTCGCGTCAATTACTCTGCATTTCATTTTACAGTAAGCATAGAGAAATACGTATTACGAGCCAAGATCATTTATTATGTAATGAAATGTAGTTTGAAAAAATAAGACCACTATTGTAAAAGTAATATTCTGGCCACATCCTAATGACAATTTGTATTGACATAATTTAGGCATTGTTAGAATATTTTAAAACATAAGTAAGATAAATTTGTTTTCCTTTGGTCCTCTTCATTAAACATTGCAAAACAAACTAGGGAATTTTTCTCAAGAAAATGCATTAAACATGCTCTATCATTTTCTTCCAAATTCTATATCAACATCACGTACATTTCAATAACTAAGATTCGCCACAACATTAATTTTATGCCCTTATATCCTCCTCTTAAATTACTTTTTTTTTTCAAAGAGTAAGATTACCTATGTAACGCATGCCGAGACCCGATAATATTTTTGAAACTGTAAATTAATTTATCATTGTTAAAGACATACCACAATTTTATATTACGCGATTATTTTATAAAGTTAAGCTTTATTGCATGAGCATGTTTTGAAAACGATCGACGATAGAAGCAAATTTGTACGAATACAACAAACCAACATTATAAGTGAGTTGCATACCTTATGTTTTTGTATACCAGCATTATAAATTAATAATAGAATAGAAGTTAATTTTTGGAAACAACTTTATTGTAACGTCACGGGTATTTGCCATCTGCGCGAACCCAGATGACTGCTGTTAGGTTTGCCGCTTCCGCCCCGTGATTCTCTCGCTGCGATAGGCTCAATGTGCGATATATGCCATTATTATGCCATAAAAGGCAAATGCTTCATAGTCTCTGACGTAGGATATATTATCAACCATTTATTGTAACGATAAAGATTGTTTATAATGCTGGAATACAGAAAAATATCATGTTTTCAAATCACGACTCCAAACATGAAATATTTTTATATTGAATACCCGTCGCGAAGACACTTGGTGGCGAATGCAACACGAGAGTCACCGCTCCCACCTTGCTGAGGGACCGAACGATTTTTCTCTAAAGAGAGCTCTATTTTTATAGACATACTTTCTTGCAACCGAACAATCGACTCTATGCTACCTCCGTGTCTCTGTTACATTTTGCTCTCTAACAGCCACGGACACCACAATTTCCATACTTTCTCTTGCCTAGGGGTAGCAACGCGTTTTTATTTTTGCGTTCCTTTTTTCCTTAAATGCTTGTATTTAACTTTCAATACATCAACCATTGACACCGAGAACGATTATGTATTTAAATATATCAAAATATTGACCGGTTCAAAACAAAAGGAGTAGAAATATAAAATTTATGTTAATTCCAGATCATT